GCCTACCGCAGCCTTGGGGAGCTCTTCCGGCGCCCGCTCAAGCCTTGGGTGCGCCCCATCGCCTCCCATGACATGGTATGTCCTGCCCTGCTCCCCCCTCCATTGCCCATCCATGGCATGGTACATCCTGCCTTGTCCCCCCATCACCCATGGCAAGGTACATCCCACCCTGTTGTACCCCCACCCGCACCCCATTGTCCTCTCATGGGATGGTACATTCTGCCCTTCCCCCCATTGCCATCTCATGGGATGGAACATTCTGCCCTTTCCTCTCCCCCCCCCCCCCATTGCCCTCTAATGGTGTGGTATGTCCCCACCTTGTCCCCCATTTCTCTTCTATGGCATGGTATATCTCATGCTGCCTCCCTCGTCCCCCCGTGGAATGGTATATCCCACCCTTCCCCTCCAAGGCCTTACCATGGCCTGGTACATTCCCCCCCGCTCCCGTCATGGGATGGTATGTTCAATCCCACCCCTTCACAGTATGGTTACATCCCACTCCTGCAGCACCCCCTGTAGTAGGTCTCATTTTGATTTCTCCCCACCATGGTATGGTATGCCCCACCATCCTCCCACACAAATCATGGTATGTTCCATTCCCCATGACATGGAGATCCTATTTTCCCCTTCCCCGTGTCATGGGTCTTCCCTTCCCATGAACCCCCTTTGACATGGTATGTCCCACATAGTGACAATTCATACCCATGTCCCGTCCCAAGGCCAGGGTCACAGACCCCCGTCCACATGTGCCTAGTGACCTGAGCTGGCATTGGCTACAGCTCACCAGGGCCGTGCGAGCTGCTGCATGTGAGCTCTCCTACATGTGCGAGATACGGGCACGTTCCCCAGAACTTCAAGGCTCACACTTTCGCAGCCTGGCTTTTCACGAGACCTTTGCCTGTGTCTGTGCAGTGGCCCTCTCCAGAGCCTTGCCCCAGGGCCCTGGAGAGTGGGAGCCCCCCAATCAGTACCCAGCTGTTACACACGTGAATGCCTCGAACTGTCCTTGTGAGTCCCCGTGCAAAGCCATCCCCACTTCTCATTCTGTCCTGGCTGGTTGCAGGTCAGCCCGGCAGATGGCCGGATCGTGCACCTGGGCCGGGTGCGGAGGAGCCGCCTGGAGCAGGTGAAGGGCGTGACGTACTCTCTGGAGAGCTTCCTGGGGCCCCAGGACTGGAGGGGAGACGGGGGTGAGTGAGGGGCTGGGAGTGGGCTGATGTGGAGAGTTTGGGCCCAGGGTCCAATTTGGAGGGGCTGGGACAGATCCCAGGGGCCAATCTGGGAGATGAGGGGGCTATGCTGGGGGGAGGCAATCCAGCTGTCTGTCTCTCCCCCCCAGGCCGAGGTTTCTCCCCACAGTGGCGCCCGGGGCACCGGCTCTATCAGTGCGTCATCTATCTGGCGCCAGGCGACTATCACCGCTTCCACTCGCCCACTGACTGGCACATCCAGCACCGCCGGCACTTTCCCGGTACGGCCCTGCCAAGGGGAGGGGAGCAGGCTGGAGGGGGTCAGATGTTACCCTGGTTGTCACTAATGCTGGGGTCTCTTCTTTCCCCCGTCCGTCCGTCTTGCTCCGTGTCTGTCCGTGGCAGGCTCCCTGATGTCGGTGAGCCCCAGCGTGGTGCGCTGGATCCCGGGGCTGTTCTGCCACAACGAGCGGGTGGTGCTGAGCGGGGAGTGGGCCCATTGCTTCTTCTCCTTCACTGCCGTGGGGGCCACCAACGTGGGCTCCATCCGCATCTACTGTGACCAGGTGGGGCTGGGGGGAGAGGGAGCTGGGAACCCAGAGAGGGCAGCCCTCTGATGTCGTGGTGAGCGTGTGTGCTCATGGGGTTGCATGTGGGGCAGCCTGGTGGATGCGCACACACTTGTGGGATCAGACAAGGGGGGGGTCTGGTGAGTGTGTGTGCACTCATGTGCTTGCACGTGGGGAGCCTCTGGTGAATATGTGCCCACTTATGGGATTGCATGTGGGGGGGGTAGTGAGTGCACACTCCAGGGGAATCACACGTGAGGGGGGCTTGGTGAGCACACAGTCACGTGGCTTTTGTGAACCAGAGCCAACGTGGAGTGAGGGGGTGCCCGTCACCATGGTAACCCCCTTTTCTCTCTGGCAGGACCTGCGCACCAACTGTGCCCGCCACGTGCAGGGTGGCTACCACGACTGCAGCTACACAGCATGGGCGGGGCCAGCCGGGGTCCCCGCCCCCAAGGGGGCTGGCCTGGGCGAATTCAACCTGGGCTCCACCGTCGTCCTCCTTTTCCAGGGGCCCCGGCACTTTGGCTTCCGCACCAGCGCTGGGCGCAGGGTGCGGGTGGGGCAGGCGCTGGGCAGCCTGTGACACAGTAGGCAGGGGGGCATGTCCTCATTTCAGGGGGAGCTCAGTGGGGGAGGCGCCCCAGATTTAGTAGGGTACAGGGAGAGGACACTGGACTTGTGAGAGAAGGGAAACCACAATTTCTGATGGGAGAACTGGACCCCTCTTTACTGAAGGGGAGTGAAGGGGTCCCCATTCCAGTGGCCGCCTCAACTTTCTCCTGGGGAACGGGGGGGCTTTAGGCTCCCCTTCACAGCCATGGAGGCAACATAGGTGGGACCCTCATCTTAGCAGGGAAGGGATTTTAGGAGGTGGGGGCACCAGGAGCCCTACTTTCAGGAGGGGATAGAGAGAGACTCCCCTCTTTTCAGTGAGGGAATATGAGGTGTCTCCATGCCCACTTTGATTCTAATGGGGAAAAGGGGGATACTTGGTTTTAAGGGGTCCCAAATTCAGAGGGGAAGGCATGGGGGGGGGATCCGAATCCCCTTAATTCCCGTGAGGGATGATGTGATCCTAGATGCTTTGGGATTGAAATCTGGGGGAAACTTTTGCACTGTCCCCTCTGCATCCCTCCCCACTCCATCCCTGCACCACAAGGGGGGGGCTGAGCGCCAGAGGGGCAGCATATCTCTGAAATAGAGCTTTCTATTTTCATATACAGCCTGTGTCCTGGTGTCTGTGGGGGGGGGGGCCTTTCCCCTCTAGGGGGCGCCAGTTCTGACCTGGCCTGGGCTAAGGGACTGGCTGGCTGCATCAGGGAGGTGAGGATGGGATTGGGGCCTTGTCCCTAACTCAATTAATCTTTTCTTTAATAAAAGGAAAATGTACCTGCTTTAGGAGTGTGAGTTGGGGGTTATGGGGAATAGACAGGAGGGCAGGGGGTGCAACCTCACTTCCCTCCTCCCCCCCCCTCCTAAATTCACACCAGGGTTGCTTGCTCTTCCCCTTTCTGTCCCTGTCAGGGAGTGAGAGCAAAGTGCCCAGCTCATCTGCCCTCCCCAGCCAGAGTGAGGAATGCAGCAAACTGGGCACTGTCCCCTCGCTCCCTCACAAAGGGGAACAGCCAGCAGTGTCCCCCTGCGAATCGGGGGGAGGGAGGTGTTCAGCTCCCCCTCTCTACAGGGTGCTTGAGGGTTGGGAGGCTCAGGGCTGGGGCAGTCCCAGATGGGGGAGGGGGGTTCCCAGCCTGCCCCTTCCACCTGCCGGCTGATTCTGTCTCTTTCCTGTTTGGGGTGATGAGACACAATCGCACGCCAGGCACAGCCCGTTTTCCTGGCACCACCAACCCCTTCTGCTGCTTTGAATTCTGATAGCAGGAAGCCGCGCACTGGCTTTGGTGGGACTTTCCCTTTCTTGGACAGACAGACAACGCTCACAAAAACACAGTGGATTGTCTATTCCGCTCCACGC